TTATCCCTGGTGTGCACGCAGGTAGGGAAAAAGTGGCAAGGCAAAAAAGAACTGATCTGAAAGTTTTAAGACAACCAACTGTTCCACAACTTTCGCAGGGCATCAGCTATTACCATGGTACCACAGATTCTCCAGTCTACAGCTGTGTCATTTTTATAGGACAGGACAGGCGGAGAGCTGATTGCCACTTTTTCCGCTTCATAACTAAATCATCTTGCAGAATACTCCCGGATCCACTTCAACCCGGACCCAATTTCCCGTTGGGAGCCGGTCACTTGCTAGTTGACTTAAAGGAAGCGCCCGCGTTCATTTGATGTTCCTTACCCTGTTCCTCCTTAGATAGCTTTGTCGACAAGGGTGGAGGATGTACTAATTTCGCAGCTCAAAAATACGAGAGGATGGCGCCACCCGCTTGTGAAGAGGATGCCGCCCCGCCCACCTGGCTGCCATAACTGCTTTGGCTTAGCCTTTAAAGGCTGAGCCACAATCAGTCATGAAGCTCATATAATACGTGATCCAGTAGTGAAGGAAAAAAGGCAGAAAAAAATCAAAATGGAAATGGAAAAAAATGGGAAATGTTCTATAGAGAACCCTGCTGGCCAGGTGGGCGGGGCGGCCGACTCTTCACTAGCGAACGGCGCTATCCTCTCGCCTTTTTGAGATGCAAAACTAGTACATACTGCATCCTCATAGGGAGGGCTATGATATCCAGAGAGGGCGCGGGAACATCAAATGAAGGTGGCAGCTGCCCGTAAACTTCTTGTTGTGTATAACTTATTGTGTATAATATAAAATGATATTCGTGTCACCAGTTAGAGGGAGGAGAGGGGGGGCATTTTGCACTTTTGCTGCTTCCCGCCGTAGCATATTGCTTTAGAAGAGTTGACAGGCATTCTTTGCAAGGGTTGACAAGTGACTCTACAAACTTTGACTTGTCTACCACTTCACGGCTTCATACGAATTAACAGATCTCTGCTATCGCATCTGCAAATATTGTTCTAAAAGTAATTGGAGTCCGCGAAGCATAAGGCAATTAATAGCTGACGGAAAGAAGGGGTTTTACCGAGGCGTTTCTCCAGGGAAAGAGGAGTGCTTTCACACAACAGGATGGCAAGCCCAGCCCTCCCCTAATCAAATGTGCATAGCAGACCAGAATCCACCGCCTGCTTTTCTTTGTGTGAACATTGGACCGTTTCATT